TTCAGTGAAATTTTGGATGCTGTAGAACTGTAGTCTTTGGTCTTGTAGAATACTGTGATCTCTTTTTTACAATCTGTTTGCGAGCTACTGCATGATAGCTATGGTTCTATCTCCTCGACGAACAATCAGCGGAAACAACATGTTGCTCTCTCTATGCCGCGCTTCTCTGACTATCAGCTTCAATGTCCATTCCCTTGCTCTGGATATATTGCTACTGTTAGCCCTCTGTTCTGTTGCTATACTTTCTTTCTACTAATACTCCGGCCGCTCCGACAATGTCTCATATATTTTACTGCGATCGAGGCTTATCTGTATAATATATGGATCAACTTTGTCCGAATGACAACTAGCACTATATTTCAAAGGCTAGTTATAGTGTTCAATCATTCCCCACTTACCCCCAGTATCTACCAATTCCTGCTGCACCTCGAAAAGAAACCAGTTAGGAACGAGTGCTGCTTACGGCACTTTCCATTTCGAGTTATAGGCTTCTATGGCTGAATTGGAGGTAGACCATTGGAAAGGTGCCATATCCCTTTAGTTATGCTCATAGAGAGAAGTTTTGGAATATATGTTCGGCAAATCAATACTAGGAAAGGCACACATGTTTAAAGAAGAAGATTAGACACGGATTGACTATCCAACTCGTCCACATCAACCATTTATATATATCGTTCGACATAGATGAAGCACGAATAAAATGAATAGTAGATTAAATAATAAAATAGAGGATTGTTAACGAGTTAGTTAGTTACCTCCAACCTCTCCCTCACAATACACATATACACATTGATATGCACATTACCCTGCATGTAGGTAAACAGAGAATCCAACGAGAAATCACTGCGTCGGCCCAGCGACCAACCGCTGCATGGACCCTTCAGCTGAACCTCCCTCCAGGGAATCAATGGCAAGATTCTCCAATCTCCCACAAACCGCGCCTTGGCATCAGCACCTCGCCACTTCCATCTTCTGAATGCCTGCTTCTGCGACTCACTCTCAGGGCGACCGACCACCTTATCAGCACGTGACAAAATGCTCATCCAGCGCTTAGCCACTTCTCTGGAGCATAAACAACCCATATCCCAAGGATGCAGTCTGATTCACACCTCATGGATGAAATTACTCCACCTGGGAGTTTCCTGAACCCTCCCCTCACGCCGCCGCCCACGGAAGAGAAAGAATTGTCAAGAAGTGCTCAAGCCGTTCTGGACTGTTTAGAACTCCATCGTGGGTGAAAGGCCACGACAGTCTTGGTAGCAGCACCGGCTCATTCCGGACGATTATAGAGAGGTTTTGCGTGCGCTAGATGGCAACGAATCTCTTCGAGGTTACGTGGAAGACAAAGTAAGGTGAGTACTGCCAATCTTCAGGTATGTTGAAGGCATTTTTGTTTAGTTGTATTCTATGCTCGAATACGACCCTTGCCGGTCCCTTATGGCTATCCGAATGCCGACTCCTCTCCATGATATATTTTGTGCCAGGATAGTCACTGAATTTAGCCCAATTGGGGAAGTTTCAACAGAGCGATAAGCCCTTCGCTGATTTTGCGAGGAAGGTAGATCATAAGTCCACTACCCAAATTTGGCTGCCGAACGATACAAAAAATAGAAAGTGGACTCGTTCCGAACAGGGCCCAGATACATCATTTAAGCATGAGCAGGCAAAATGATCCGGTGTTATTATAGAAGTGTGCTATACGCAAAAAAGTTCGAGCTGCTGCGGACTTAGCGGATGATCACGTCCTGGACACCAATGGAAACGTGAAAGCGGTGATTGCCCTCAACATTGAGTATAGAGGGTCTAAAAAAGGGACTATATCTATTTGGATATAACTATAGATGGCGTGGAGGAACTTCAGGCGATCGCTAAGGTCGAAACGCTGGTACATTCCCTTTGAGCCGTAGTCTTAGGAGAATTGGATACTGACGGTTGCAGCCTTTTCGAACAGAATTTGGACTTCCAGCCGAGGAACCAGCCGAGAGACCAGCCGAGGGACCAGCATTCCGGCTGTCGCTTAGGGACTTCGCTCCCACGAGCATCTCACAGGGGTACACCAACCTCGATCAATATATCTCTATCTCATCGAGGGAACTCTGTGACTTTCTTTCATACGCTGAAGCAGAACACCAACAAGACTTGCTCGACGAACGCATCGTCGATCCATTTTCCCCCGGGCAAGAGAAAGCGCCGTCGACTTCGAACTCCTCCTGAACACCTAAGTTCGGAAGAAGAACTCCCAGAGACGATGAAAGCAATCAAACGTGGGCGGCTAACGCGACATTCGTCCGGGCAAAGAGTCCGGGGACCTGGAAGCTGAGCTGCGTTAGATTTTTGAATACTTGGAATGGCACATTGGGAACGCAGTTTTGTCTGGAAATGTCTTCCCGCCGTAGGGCATATATGAAGGAGCCAGTCCTGTATAACCCTAACATCTAGTATAATAGATGATGATATGCAAAAAGACAAACACATACAACAGCATGTCTAAGGTGGTGGTCACCTAGCGCCCATGGTTCGGGCATGGGCGGCTCGCCGCTCTATTCAGGGCACTCGGGGCGGATATTCACCCATCTGAATATTCCTCACCCGAGTATTCAGCCCGTACAGCAAAAGGTACATTTCCAATCATGACCAAAAAGCTACAAGTATCCTTCTTTCCCCCTCCGTTTTCATCTCCAGCCTCGCTTTGTCACGAGCAAGATACGTACCAAGCATGACCCAACGTTGAGATATATGGCCAATGTTGTGGATTTCGGGGAGCATAGTAACAATGAAATCTAGCGGGTAGAATATAGCGTTCCCTCTTATATATAGCTACAGACTCTATTATATATTAATAGAACTATAGCGTCTATCCTACTAACACTAAATACCGTTATCCTAATACGTAGGGCGACTTAGTTCGACTGCATTCTGAAAATGATCCCAAGGATTCTTCCTAAGTTCCTCTTGCAGTGTTAATATAAGGGCTCTCCCCCATTAAATTCCAAGTTAGATGTTCTTTGAAAGCTCTCCTTAGCCACATAAAATATAAGAGCTTGAAGGCGTTGCTGCCCGTATTAAAATGAGAAGAACAGAATCTTCCATATGGTAAGGCCGTCTGCCCCCCTAAAGCACGAGTCGCGGCAATCCTCACGTCCTTGTTTGGATCTTCCAACGATTCTGACAAGGTTTGCCGGACATCCCGCGGCAGGTCTTCACGAAGATTCAAGAAGAAGGTCTGAGCTGCTGCGATCAACCTTCTCGAGACATGGTCTCTCACCTAGGAAGCTCTCACCTAGGAAGCTGCCAGCCTCACGATCATCTGTGAGACATTTGACATGCCAGGTACCACCCTCAAAATTTCCATCTTTATATCCTCCGATGATTTTTGCAAAACGTCTTCTAAAACTCGTTCAGGAAATTCCGTTGCGCGGGCTAGCTCTGAATATCTCATGACCTTGCATTCAAAAAGCAGCCACTGTGATAGTTGGCCTTCCAAGCCATTTCGAAGTTCAGTCAATTTCGTAATCTTCTCTGACGGAGCAACTTCACTCAAGCGACGCATGACCAGTCGTTAATGTATAGGACCTAAGAGGTCATGCGGATGTTCTTCAATTATGCTGAAGAAGCTAAAGAGCTGTTCTTCATCGCCACTAGAATGAAGCAAGCCAGCAACGAAACGCCAAACTTTTTCAAAGCGGGGATTATATTTGGACTGCCGAATATGAAGATATAATCGTGTCGGATCTTATATAAGCCAGCGAGCGGTAAAGAACTCCTGAAAGGTAAGGTGGATAAAGCTATAGCTGACTTGTGAGTCAGGGCTATGCGGGTGAAGCAAGGAGAGCTTATTCAGGTTGGATTCGCACGTAAGGGGCAGCTACGCGCCCTTCTCCTCTGTCTTCTGTATGATTTGATTAATCTTTGAATTGCCGAAGTGCGTTCGGTTTTGCTCGGTAAGTTCAATGGCCAGCCTGCTAAGGAATTCGAGTTCTCCCTAGACAGCCCGCTCCAGGCGCCTCGGGTGTCGAACCGCCTGTAAAGCCTCCTATGTTAAAATGGAGCCGTCGACAGTATTGTGCTTTCGGAGTTCAGGAATATCCTTCCGCCAGAGTTTCGTGATCAATGTCTGGTATAGTATAGTGACTATAGGAATGCTTCCAGACTGGGTCTTCTTCTTCAACTCATCCCAGCTGTAGCATAGCATATCCAGATAGATGGGTAATTTGACCAGCTCTTAAATATAGGCATGCTTCTTAATAAACGTTTTGATTTCTTTCGCATCTTCTTGTGGCACGATAGTTCGGTCTTCAAGATAATTTGAGATTGTTTCTTGCTAAAGCCAAGGACTTCTAGTTCTAGATCGATAGAGACCACGTGCTCGCCAAGCCACCCGCCGAACCGTGACGTGATAATGACTGGATTATAGTTGGCCAGTCGTGTAATGAGTGCGGCTTTGCTCTATGTCCATCCGTGTGTCTCGTCCCATCCATCAAGAATAAGCAGCGTCTTTATCTTATCTTTATCTAGATTTCGATCCTCGAGTGCCTCCGCCAGTTCACGCCCGCCATTCGTGAACTGAAAATACATTAAAGCATTGCTTCATGCGAGATCAAGGAGCCCCCAAGCCCGTTGAATTGCGCGATAAACCAGGTTTTAAAAGCCTGCTAAATCCCCATGCAATCCGCCGCCTTTTTTGAGAAAGAAGTGAGCGAACTACGCGCCGCCAACGAGAAGCAGAAGCAAAAGCGTACCAGATCCCGGAGGCAGATACCTGCCGAAGAGGGCCTCTCAGTTCAAGAAGCATCTGCATTAATTATGCAGCCGGTAGAAGCAATAGAAGCACCTATACCCCCGCCACGAAGAACACTTTGTTTGTTTGTATACGCTACGGACCCTACCTAGATATATTGCATGAGTTAGTCACGCACTGGAGAATTATTTACGGTCTATTCTTCTCATTTAAATGTCTGGGTCTTGTAACTCATCGCCGACCTCCTCAATTAGTAGAAGTATTAGGAGATAGGATTTCTCCTCATGTCCACTGGCATTTCTTTTCCGGAACCAAGACGTTTTGAAACCCGGAGGTCCCATCCACCATACTGGGCCTCGTGAATCCGACCAAAGTGCCTGCTATACCATTCTACTACCCGCTCATCCGCACAGTTATCGAGAATATCATTGTTGACTTCGAGATAGCCCCGCATCATTGATATCCAGGCGTTTAGTAGCAACTGCCAAGACGAATATCCAACCTCCTCGATGTCATGAATAACTCCTTTAACAAAGCTCTCAACTAATGCCGCTTCAAGCGGATAGAATAAGTTGCAATACACTTCATATTGCTTTGGTTGGGCACTCTGGCTTGACGGGTTTGAAGTTATGGCGAGATTGTCTAGTGGTAAATGCGCGAAGGAGTTAGGGATTAGAAAGATTTGATCCCCGCTAAACGGAAGGTGAGGCGGGAATTGGAATGACGTGCAATAACGGTCTAGGCGTTCATAGCCCTTATTAATCTCATCAAGGACGGCTTGCGGATCTGGGAGAGACTCCATAATTTCAGGGGCGGCCCGGCGATCAGGAGGGGCTTGAGGGAATCCCGAGTCTTTGAGCTTCTGAATCGATGTCTGATAATGTTCGTCTCGGACAACAAACATGTGATCCTGCGATGATAGTTAGTGAGAACAAGACTAAACAATAAGAGAGGAAATACTTACGCCTGCCCCAGTTGGGACACCCAAATGATACATTGCAAGCTGTCCCCACGAAATGACCGGTAGAGGCTTAAGTATTTGACTGAATTCTGAAGATACGCTGTCAGGTGCGACCTCTCGGGGATTCCTGAACATCTCCGCTGCAAATCTTCCTTCTAAATATTATTTTGTGTACTCGTAGTATGTTTGCTGCGATATAGACGTCAAAACTTGTCGGCTAAGAAGGCAAGGAGGATACAGCAGCATGAATTGTATTGGTGCGGACTGGACTCTGAGAGGAAAAAGAGGAGAGAAACTAAGATCTATCTACTGGAAGTGCGGTGGCCTGTGAGTCACGTGTTCTATACCACCCCCCTTTAGGACTAACCTCATTCCAACCTACGCAAACCCCTTGAAAAACCTTTCTTTCTTTTTGAATTTTCGGCATGTTTTCGTATATCGTAAACCTCCTTTTTACCGTGCAATTCGTATGTAGATCAATTAAGGCCTAATCTCAACCAGAATATAGGCCCATTAGACTTATGTCAATTCTCCCGGTCCACGCATAGCAAGGCGTACATCGTACTGGACGCGCTCGATGAAGCATTTCAGGAGCATCGAGCAGAGTTCTTCGAGCTTGCTCAAAATATCCAGCCCCCAGGGCGCATCCACCTGGTAATGCTAGGACGTCCCGAGGTCGCGGACGAAATGGCTTCTTTGATAGAAATGCTTCAGGCTCCCGTGATCTATATCTCTGAGGAGACAAACTTCCACGACATAGTCCGTTTTACCAGAACGGGAGTGGCACGATCTTTGTATCTAAGGAAGCTCCCGCAAGCTGTTAAATCTGATATTATAGATCAGTTGTCGAAGAGAGCACAAGGCATGGTAAGCATATATAGCTAGCACTCGCACTTGATGCTATGTCAAACTAATCGGCTACGGTTCATCTGGGCGGGGTTTATGTTGCAGGAACTGCGACTTGCACGGAGACCAGGCGAAATACATAAAGCCCTCCGGACAGCGCCTAAGGGTCTGACTGCGATGATGCAGCGGGTGCTGAAAGGATTCTCGGAACGCCTGAAAGCCCGAGTATGCCGACGATTTGAACGAATTGCTGGCCTGGATCACCTGCGCCCAACGTCCACTAAAGCTAGGTGAAGTGGATAATCTCCTCAGATGGCGAAATCCCGAGGCAGACGGTTGGATTCGATTGGAAGGAGATCTTCGAGGGCAGTTTGGTTCTATATTCCTCTTGATTCGCCAAGATGGAATGACCACGGCCGAGAGCTTGCGCGTCATGAATACCAGAGACGACTCCTGCGCCAAAGAGACATTTATTGAGGACATCGAAATGTTTGATGAGTTTGGATACCATGATTTCGACTCTAACCCTAGCACGACAAGGTTACTTTCAACTATGCAAGTATCGGCGACTTCTTCCGGAATGAACATGAAACAGTTGTGTCCTTGGGCAACGGGTGCCCTTCTGTTGGGATCAACTACCATGAAGCTCGAATCTCGGTCTTAAGGCGCTACTTCGAAATCCTCAACGATCATGAATTCCACAAAGAGAATATCGCACTTACCTTGCGACCGTGTGCGCGGCTTAGGGCTTCGGGGCATCCAGGTGAATGGGCTGCAGGGACTGAAGACTAGGGCGGCGAGGGGACTTTCCAGGAAGAATTCAAAAAACTAGAAACAAAAAGAAGAACATACTAAGGTGGTGGTCACCTAGCGCCCACGGTTCGGGCATAGGCGGCTCGCCACTCTATTCAGCCCTCTTAGGGCACTTCGGGCGGATATTCACCGACCTGAACATTCTTCACCTGAATATCTAGCCCGTATAGGAAAAGGTACATTTCCCTATTCTGATCGCAGAAGCTGTAAATGACCTTCTTTTCCTCTCCGCTTTCATCTCTCTAGCCTCACTTTATCACGAGTAAGATACGTAGTTACTAAGTATAACCTAACGTTAAATTATATGGCTAACATCGTAGATTTCGGGGAATATAGTAATAATCAAAACTAGCGGGGAGTGCTACCACAAATAGAATCTAGTTATAGTCATAAGTCACTTATTCTCGAAGAGCAAGTATTAGCCCTAGGAGTAGAGAAGTAAGATTTCTGACCTCAGATGTTTCTTCTCCTTCTTTTTTTTTTTTTTTTAT